TAAACAATATGTCCAGAGCAAAAGTCCGCAGAAGAAGAGAACCATGTAGTTAACTTAAACTAGTCCTGATACCAGTTTGGGCAGGAAGATAAGCTGAAATGTATTTTCTGGACTTGAGATGAATCAAACAATAGCAAATGTATTTTCTGGCCTTGAGATGAGTGAAACAAACCTATGTCAATAGGATGACATAGCTATATTCAAGGTTACCTTCCTGAGGCTTAAGGAATTTCCCACATTCAAGTAGAAGTGGTTTGGTGAGTAAGAAGAACTAGTTAATGATCTCCTACACTCAGGAGTTAATGATGCCTACACTCAGCATCAGCTTATGTACCTTGGTATGTGAAAGCTTTTAACACCCCATATTGAAAAATCCCACCCTTATATCCCATTTTCGTCACTGCACTTAACATAATTATAATTGATTGCATGATGATATCTGTTTTATCCAAAGCACTTAAAAATACCTAGCAAATAATATTCAGGATAAAAATAACCAAAGAATGGATGAATGAAAGCAAGTAGCTTCCCTTCATTCATCTTCTTACTGTCAATGATAACTGACTTATAACTTTATGATTTTTAATAAGATAAAAAATTGCTGAACTCAATTTTCAAGCAAGATCACTATCAACTAAATCCTTAAGCATGGAGGTAAAAGTTCCCCCCTATGTTAGGTTATCCAGATCACACTTAGTTTTATGAGTATAGTTTATAACGCTCACAGCAAGTCCTCTATGCTTAAATACAATAAATTCCAGTTATTTTTCCTATTAACATCATTTGGACAGCATGGTGGAACAGAGCAAATGTGCACCAAGGAGTTTTTCAAAACAGAGCTTTGAAAGTCAAGTTGTTCTTCTAGCCCTTGTAATAAATGGGAAATACTATTTCTGCATTTCAATTTTTCCATGTACAAGTGTGAGGACATCATTGCAGGGAAATTAAGAGGATAGAAATATTTAGCAAGTGTTATAAAAGTCCAATAATTAAACAAACTTCATCAGGAAGCCATACAAGGATCACATCTGCCTTAACACAAGGAAAAAATGGCAACAGCTAATGTGAGGGTTTCATTTCCACATTTGTAATTTAGTATCTAAGTTATCCCCTTTGGACACCATCAAAATTAGGGCCTCCTTGGTGACCTTCCATGCAAAAATAATAAAAATAAATAACTGAAATGAGTAGTATCAAAATCAGGTACTTCCTGAATCAAAAACGTCATTCAACAATAAGGTTCATCATAAAATACGTATAATAAAACACAGCCAATAGGTTTTGACATCAGCTCTAGAGGTGTGTTTGGGAACTCAACTCTAAAAACAAGAGAAACAAAACAAAAATAAATAAATAAATATGACCAATGCAAACTGAAAAGCCTCTGCACAGTGAAAGAAACTTGCATCAAAATGAAAAGACTTAATCAGAGAAGATATTTACACAACATACTTCTGACAAAAGGATGATATCCAAAACATGCAAAAAATCCATACAATTCAGCAATATAAAAATAAGCAACCCAATTAAAAAACAGAGTATCTGAATACACACATCTCCAAAGAAGGTATATAGATGACCAATAGGCACATGAAAATATATTCAGCATCTTATTACTAGAATGCAATTATTATTAGAGAAATGCAAATCAAAACAATGAGAAACCACTTCTTACCTGTGAGAATAGCTATTATCCAAAAGATAAGAAAACAAGTGTTGGAGAAGATATGGAAAGAAGAGAACCCTTCCACACTGTGTGAATGTAAATTATTATAGCCACTGTAGAAAGCAATGGAGACTCCTCAGAAAATTAAAAATAGAAATTACATATAATCCAGTTATCCCACTTCTGGGTATTTGCGTAACAAAACACTAACTTAGAAATGCATGATCCTCTATGTTTATTTCAGCACTATTTATTTTTTCCCATCAATTGACAAATGGATGAATTTATCACTGTGGTATATATACCACAATACCATTTAGGTGACATCCTGCCATTTGCAGCAAGATGAATGGCTCTAGAGGGAATTATGTTTAGTGAAGTAAGTCAGACATAAAAAGAATACAATGTCATATGATTTCACTCATATGTGATATACAGAGGAAACAAACACATGAACTATATAAAACAAAAGTAAACTTTTGGACAAGACCAATTAGTGTGCCATAAAGGAAGGAGGAAGATTGGACTCTTAGCTATGACCTTCATGCAACATATACACATGCTGATTCTCAACAATGAACACCTGAAACATGTTATAATGCAATGATAGTTTGATTAAAAAAAGGTGGTTCAAAAAAAAAGGTGGTTCAATGAAGCCTCGTAGCTATGAAGGCTTCAGGTTGTGTTGCTAGAATGAAAGATCAAAGAGAACAAGAGATGGACTCAGACTGTTTGCACTCTACCTATGTATGTGCCCACATTCTTAACTCCTGTGCACTCCTGCCTTGGTAATCTGGCATGTCACATCCCAAAGGCAGGCCTCATCATCAGGTAAATTATTACTTCACTACAAACAAGTGGAAATAAGTCTTGGTAAAACAAAATTCAAAATCCCACAAACAATAAAAGCACACAATTTAACTAATGATGCAATATTTTTGTAAATGCCTAGGAGAAGAGTCATTCATGCAGAGACCACTGACTCAAATATGATATGCTTTATATCAGTTGAACTGGGGAACAGCTAAATATTTCTCCCTTCCAAAGCAGCATAGGTTGTAAAGTAAAGCAATTCCAGAATTAATACTTGTTCTGCCACTTACTAGTTGTGTAATGTTAGACAAGTCAACATAACTAATCTGAACTGAAGATTTTCATCTGAGAGGACACAAGGACTTATGTCTATTTTTTAATTTTTTTCCTTTATTAAAGTCCCATTGGTTTACATCATTCTCAGTATTTTGGAAGTATAGGATCTCCCCCTTCAGGTGCAGTCACCTTATTGCACCCACCACCAAAGCACCCATACTCCTTCACCATAGGCCATGTGCTATCTCCCCAGCCTGTTATTGCCCTTACCCCTACCCCTGCCCCTACCCCTCTGGATGCCTCAGTTCTATGCTCAGCTTTTCAAGGGCTGGTTTTAAAGTTTGTCTTTACCTTTCACTTTGTTTTGTTCCTCTATACGCCACATATAAATGACAACATTCAATATTTATCTTTCTCTTTCTAGATTATTTCACAGAACAGGTTCCCTCCCAGCTTCATTCATGTTGCCACAAATGACATTTCACGTTGCCACAAATGACATGAGTGCCTTTTTTGATCACTGAGTCATATTCCAATGTATATATTTACCACGTCTTCTTGATCCTTTCATCTGTTTTGGGGTACTTATGTTGTTTCTACAGGTTGACTGTTACTGATGCAATTAACATAGGAGTGCATATTTCCTTTCAAATATGTTTTTGTATTCTTTGGGTAGACACCTAGAATGGAATTACTGGAAGGTATAGTAGTCGAAGGAAGACACAGTGCATGATCTCTATGATCCGAGCAGATGGGTGGAGGAGTCCTTTAGCTCTCGCTGGCCTTTTTAGGCTTTTATTCAGTTTACCAGGTACATGGCAGGCAGGGGTACCAGGGAAAGGAGGGGGTGCAGGGAGACTCACTGGCCTCCCAGTCCCCAGCAAGTCTTCACTCTTCCTGGGCTCTCCAGCATTTTCTCATGGCCTGCTTCTCTGCTGGTGCTGCTCTCGTTCTTCTGGTGCCCCCCACCCCCCACTAACATCCCCCAGGTGAATCCCATCTACATATGCCCACAACCTATTCCAGGCCATCAGGCATGCATTCAGGACCTCAGGGATCTATCCTCAATCCTAATGGCAGGAGGGCAGAAAAGCCTGATAATTATTTACCCTACAGTATATTTTTAATCTTTTGAAAAACTTACATAGTGCTTTCTCTAAGTGCTGGACCAGACTATACTTCCACCAAGAGTGTAAGAAGGTTCTTTTCTTTCCACACACTTGCCAGCACTTGTTTCTGATCTTTTTGATATGGGCCAATTTTACAAGTTTGAGTTAATATCTCATTGTGGTCTTGATTTGCATTCCTTGGTAAGTGATGATGAATATTTTTTCTATATGTCTTCTTTGGATAAGTAGCTATTTAGGTCTCCCTATGTTTTGTTTTGTTTTTTCATTTCCTTGAGTTGTATGCGTTCTTTATACATCTTTGATATCACTCTCTTGTCAGATATATGGTATGCAAACATTTTCTTCCATTCAGCAGAATATCTTCTCATTTAGTTAGTTTTTTTCACTGTGCAGAAGCTTTGTAGTATGATGTAGTCCACCTGATTATATTTTTTGTTTCTCTTGCTGCTGGAGACAAAGTGGCAAAGACATCACTGAAGCTTATGATATAAAGTGTTTTGCCTATGATTTTTTTTCTATGTATGTTATAGTTTCAAGTTGTACATCCAAGTCTTTTATCCATTTTCAGTTTATTTTTATATATGGTGTGAGATAGTGGCCCAATTCCATTCTTTTCCACGTAGCTGTCCAGTTTTCCCAAAACCATTTATAGAAGAGGCATATTCCTGGCTCCTCTGTTGTACATTGAGTGACTATCTAGATGAGATTTTGTTTTTGGTTGCTCAACTTGATTCCATTGGCCTTTGTGTCTTTTATATTCCAGTACCATTCTATTTTAATCGTTACAGCTTTGTAGTACAGTTTGAAATCTGGAAGTATGATACTAGTGTTCTTCCTCTGTCAGGATAGCTCTGGCTATTTGGGGTTTTTGTGATTCCATAAGAATTTCAATAACATTTGTTCCATTTCTTTGAAGAATGTCATTGAAACTTTTTATTGTGTTTGCAATGAATCTGTTTACTGCTTTGGGTAAGATGTCCATTTTGACAATGTTGATTCTTTCAATCCATGAGAAGGGAATATTTTTCCATTTCCTTGTGTCTTTAATTCTTTTAATAATGTCTTATAGTTTTCTTTGCATATGTCCTTCACCACTTTTTAAATTATTTTTTTAGAGACGTGTTTCCTAATCAATCTAAACTGCCACAAAGACAGAAAGCAAAGGATTTATTTTTGTTTTTGTATCCTAGTGCAAACCAAAAGACCAACAAATTGTTCAAGGTCTAACAGTGGATTGAGTCACCTCCTTTTTTCATTTTACTCCTAGGTATTTAATTTTGTTTGTAGATTACAAATGGGGTCATTTTCTTAATTTCTTCTTCTAGCAAGATAAGTGATTTTTGAGTACTGATTTTGTTACATAATCATGCCTATTTTGCTTATGTCCTAAATGAGGAATAAATAATAGCATAAGTCTCTGCTATATGGAGGGCACCCATAAAGTTCTATAATTACATTTTTTCTTATTCTATACTATAAAACTTTGGCTTGAAAATGTGCCTGAGAGCATGAAGCTAAACAATATATTAGTTTGCATTTATTGTTTTAATTATCTTCATTTAGGGGAGTCACTTTTTGACTATACTATATATTTTATAGTATAATCTATTAAATTTTTAAGTGAACATTTAGTATATTAGAAATAACATTAATCACAATGAGCTCTCTCTCTCTCTCTCTATATATATATATATACACACACACACATATATATCCCATCTTCATGATCTTTTACAGTATACTGTTGAATTTTAATGTATTGATAAGCCCATTTAATATCTTGAGAACTCAGAGTCCTTCACTAATACTTACTTAATTAAGATTGGAATCTCTGACAATGATGAAGCAACCAGGAAAAGGATCCTAATGTTGATGATACAGGTTCCTTCATGAGCAGACAGGTTGCTTAGTATTTGGAAGGCAGTAGAATCACAGGTCAATATCACTATGTTAAAGGGATGTTTGGCAGCCTCTTTCCTAGAAGACTTTTTATTTGGAAAAGTCCCCTAACAAATTACATGTACTAAATACCTAAGAAAGCAAATGTTAATGTAACAGTTTAATGGGCAAAAAATGATAAAATCAAATAAAAAATATTCATAGTAACACAATGTTTATTTGCCACAGTAAAGTTTAACCTGGAGTTGATTTTTTTTCTTAATTTCTTTCTTGCTTATACAAACACTAGCCTAAAATTAGGAAAATATTATTACCATTTGTAGTATTTATTAGAAGAGGATAAAAGCAAGAATTTTACATATCAAAATAAGAAACAAAAGAGACTACTATTGTAAAACTTTGATAACCATCCTAAAAAAAATAAGCACTGTCAGAGATAACCAAAAATCAATTCACATTTGGGCTTGTAAAGGCTATAATTTGTGCTGACAAATACATCTGAATTTGAACACTTAAATTTAATAAGTATTTTATAGTATAATCTATTAAATTTATAAGTGAACATTTAGTATATTAGAAATAACATTAATCACAATGATATATATATATATATACACAAACACACACATATATATATCCCATCTTCATGATCTTATACAGTATACTGTTGAATTTTAATGTATTGATAAGCCCATTTAATATCTTGAGAACTCAGAGTCCTTCACTAATACTATAAGAGTCTTGTTGCCCTTGTTTTCCCCCACTATTCATTCCTTCCATTTATAGAATAAATGCCTGAAGACTGCATTTCTCAGTCATTCACAAAGTGCCATCTTATAGCCATGCTTGTTTCTAAACATGCTGCTTCACACTTTCCATGGGACAGGTTAATGATTATTTTTGGTTTTAGATGCCATCTGTTACAGCTTCTGCTGGGCCAAAGATCCTGTTTATGTCAACAAATTACTTAATTAAGCAAACTAGGTGACGACAATGATGGGTTTTTGAAAATGATGTGGATGTCCATGAAAACTACATAGTTCAATGTAATGCTTTATTTGAAAGAAAGAGCAGAGTGGAGAAGGAATGCAGGAAGATTGTGCCAGCAAGGTACCCCAGAGAGGTGGATAGAAAGTGATCTAACTCAACTACAGAGACTAGCTTCAGGTCAAAGGACTTATATGCCTTCCTCAGACAGCAGAGGACAGGTAATTCTGTCTCGGCGAGTTTTCCATTTACACTAAGTGCAGTTATTACCTATTATGTGAGAGGCCACTGAGATAAAAGTTATCTCCGAGTCTGTGCAGCTACAGAATGTCTTCTAAAAGCCATGTTCACTTGACACTGACCTTGACTTCAGAATATTCTACCTCAGACTTATGACACTGTTTCTTATTTAATTCACAGCTCCATGATGCATTTGCATATATAATAAGGACCAGACACCAAATTCAAACACATAGTTTCTTATAACATTATTTTTATAAAACCATAATCACTTGAGAAACTTCTTCAATTGAGAAAATTTGCTAATTCTGGAGGTCTATAAAATGCTTCTTGTTCATAAAATTACAGTTCTTAGATTATCTATAACTATTAATATGCAGGTATAGACTTAAATAACTGTTGTAGAAAACCCTTGAATTCACCAAAATTCTAATAATATTGAAGGCATAGACTTACACCATGGTTATCAAGTGTTAAACCTAAATAGTCACAAAAACATGTCTTCTCTATATAACAATACTCCTCTTCAGTCAAAACAGGTTTCTAAATAATACTTGTCCAAAATGTCTAATGTATTGAATGTCTAACTCAGCAAAATGCTTCTAATATAAACAGATTTATGCTGATAACTCTAATCATGATAATTTTTTTTTTACAGCTCTGTAAAAACCACCACTGGACCATTGGCCTAGATAACCTCTGAGAGAAACATATCATAAGCATCAACACCAGGTAGGTGCAAAATCAAAATGTTAAGGTCAGAGTTCTAAATAGTGAAGATTGCATTATTGGAAAGATTTAAAAAAATTGTTGCATATAAAGTTTACAATGAAAAGGACAAAGTAGGCTCATATACAATAATTGGAAAGCACATTTTTTAATACACTAGAAAAAAATTGAATGTCTATTTGCTGCCATTCTACTGGGTAGAATTTCTAATGTCCAGAATACCTAATGACAACCATGAAGATACTACAGAATGGATTATGAGATGGGGGGCAAAAGAAATTAAGTAGCCAGAATGGGTTCTATATCTTAGTAATCCATAAATAAATTCTGATCATATGTTGTCTTAGTTTGTTTTAGGCAACTCTAGTTTATATCTATGGTATCAGTGTAATTATTGATAAAGTTTTCTTTCTCTTTCATTCTCAGAAGTGCTTTAGCTTGGAAAATAAATTATATGGTCACCCTACCAGTAAGCCATCAAACAAATGATTGAACTCTCTTCAGAGTATTTTGACATTAAAAGGAATGGATCACTTTGTTATCTGTTGCTGTCATTGCTATTATTTAATCCCAGGTGAACAGCATTGGGTTTCTGCAGACAGAAATCAATAAAAAGCAATGTTATAAACCTTCAGGAGGGTGAATAGAACCTCATTGTGGGGAGAGGATTTTAAAATTGAGCAGCATTTTATGTTCACTAAGACATAGTTGATTGTCAAAACTCTATGGCAATGCTGTTGGCTTTGGTTTAATATTTAATTTGTAGGTAAAATCCATATCTACAGAATTGACAAAGGCAATGAAAGGTGCATGCATCTGCCCCAACCCCTTTTACCTCCACAACATGTAGGAATTGTTATTTTTCAATGCTCCAGTTCACAAATAGATTTCTTTTGTGAGAAATCTATTACATTTTACTCCTTGAATTGTCACTATGCAATATAGACGTCATGACACTTGTCATTAAACAGTTCATGTTTTTTAACTGATGACTCAAGACCAAAACAATCACCTGACAGCTAATGTAAAACTATGCTGCAGTGACTCTTACAAGTTATTTTAATGGAACAGTTAGACTATAAGGAAAAGAGTTATTGAAGATAAAAGGCTTGAGCTAAGGCTTAAAGGATGCAGAGAGCTCCAAAAGATGGAGAACAACAGCATAAGAAAAGGAGGTGTGGGAATAAACATGAGTGCAGAGATCAGTAAGATTTGGTTTGTTTTGAAGGAAATAAAAGTATAGTTGAATGCATATGGTCGAGACATTTTCCAGATACTTTAGAAAATTTATGTAGGACTTTGATACATGCCATCTATATTAAAAACCATCCAATATCTGCTATCTCCATTTAACTAACAGTTTTTCTCTACTGCAGTGGACACATGAAATGCACAGATGGGAAAAACATCCTGCCTCTTATTAATTTCAGCCCTAAAGAACAGCTATAGTGTACAAAATATATGTGGTCCAGTAAAACTTACATTATTTATGATTAAAATATTTCAGATGTTTTTTTTTTGAATAATCAAAAATGACATGGCCTGAGACCAGGCTCAAATACCCCATGTTCCTTTATCTTACTTCCCAAAATCAAGTATCTAGATGATAATTTCAGGTTGCAGGTGTTTAGATCCTTTTAAATATGCAAAGGTTAACGCTCTCATTCTGACTTAACTTTCTCTTTCAGTTGCTTTCATCAAGATTCATTTATTCCATGAAAATATTTCCAGTAAGCCTCTCTCCCTCCACTCACTAAAATCACTCCAGAAACATAGCTGCCAACCCCTCTTCCCAGATCCTTGAATACTTAGTGTTCTCTGGGTAGCAGTAATTAATTGATGCTGGGCATATTTTAGTCATGTGAATTTGTCTTCTTTTTCCTCTTTTAGACTGTGATCACTACAAGGGCAGGAAACTATCTTCTATTTTCTTGCACTACCATCATTATATATTATTATTCAGCATTTAATTAGAAACAATAGTTTATTGTGGGAGAATATGAATCAGTTTCTCACAGCTGAAAGCAGATAATGGCATGAAAAAGAGAAGTGTTAGTACTAGCCAAAGAGATTAAAAATAATAAGAAAACTAACTATATGTAAAATTTTGAATCAAAGAGATAGTAAGAAAAAATAGACTCTCTAAATAAATGGAGCAGGTTTGAAATCAATGACTACTCAACAATGGCTAAAATACTGAATTCATTTTTTAGCAGTAAACCAAAGAACAGTGGACAATTAGGAAGTAATGAAGATACCGCTAAAATAGCTATTGATGAAAGGCTGGTAAGAAAACACTTGGAACAACTGAACATTTACAAATAAGGAGTCCCCTGCTAGAATTATTGAACATACTACAATGAAACAAACAAGGGGGAATAATT